CATATCCACACAGAGAAGACAATATTCTTAAAAACACTTGAGGTATTTATTAATAGGTTCACAGACAAGGATTAACACAATGATGATTGATGAAAACTGTACTGAAGAACAAAGCAGGCAACCCACAATTTTCAAAGGTAGATTTCAACATGAGGCATTTACCACTTCTATTCCTATTTGACGTAAGAGATATTATTTTTGTCCTATTCATTTACTGGGGTGAATTCGTTTTCTTCCACAACATTTTCTTCTTCACCTTCATCTTCCTCAAGCTCCTCATCGTCTTCCTGTGAAAAAGATTTTTTTTAAAAAAACTAAATATTCTCATTTCAGTGTTAAATCTACATGATGGCAACACCACTCTATTATACTTAAATCACTATTGTTGAACTCAAACATTCAATTTGAACACATATTCAAAATGATTAAACCTATATTTATTATACTGAAGTTCTGGTGTTGTCACTTACAAATCCACACAATCAAATTACTCTTATCTTTAAATACAAGTAATATTATCCAGTACATCCATAATTACATCATGAGGAAAATCTTCCCTGAATTTGATGGTGATTTATCCCTCCCTGTTTGTGCAGTAATAAAGTTAAAGATCATCTTGTCCACTTTTACAAAGCAGCACTGAAGCTCCTTTAAATAGTTCAACTGAAATACTATTTAATACACTGAAAATAAAATTTATAACCATCAGATCAACTACCTTAAAATTAATAGTACCAAGCAGTTTTGGTGACAAAATATTCTTCAATTCTGCAGTCAGTTACTCAAGTCAACTGAAGTGGCTATGGATCTCATTTTACAGACGTTTTATGCCTCTGTGTTGTATATCATGCACTATCCACCAAAGCTTCCTGACAAGCCTGCCAATTTTCCAATTACTGGTAGCACCATATGTTATCTGAAATTCAGTCAAGTCTAAAATAGGAGAAAAAGTTCACGTCAGACAGCAGCAGTCTAGTGATCTTCCACAACTCAGCTTAAGAAGTTCTGCTGTCAATCACTGTGCATTTATTACAAGTCAATTGTCTAAGTGAAGCAGTATCATTATGTTCCTCAGCTGCTATGGTTTCACATTTAACTGGCATTATTGCATTCACTTCTAAAGAACAGAGCAGCAATAAAATGTTCAACAGGTTTCAAAATGTATTTAGTTATGACATTTTTTTTCAAAACATTGTGCATTTCTTAATAGCCCTCCATAACATAAACAAAGCAGAATTAGTTGCTCAGCTCTTCACAGGAAACTAAAGTATCAGGAAAAAAATTAACAGGAAAGAGAATCAGGCAATAATGAAATGTTAATTTATTTTTTTTTTAATTCAGATGCTGGCTGACACGTTGTGTACTTCTGACATTTGCAGTTCATCTTTTTAATTGCTGAGGCACATTACAATCTCGTTACTGTGGCCTTACTAATAGAAAAATCAGACAAAAAAGGATATTTCTCAAGCTTATCGTCTTCCTGTGAAAAATAAGTTCTTTTTAGAATGAGACATTCTCATTTCAGCAATTTGCCTTTTTCAAGGTTAAATTAATTTATTCCTTCCAATATAGAACCGTAGACAGGATCCATTGTATTTCAGTATAAGACTGAACTTCACATCATCAACACTGAAGGATAATGGTGGTGTTCTAAGAAAACTGAGCTTTTAGCGACCAGCCGAATGGAAGACCTCAACACATTGTAAACATGAGATTGTGAACAACTGAGCCTTGCACCAGTTGCTGTGTAGTCAAATAAAGGTTACAGAATGCAGTTTTTGACAATATAACTGAAAATAAAGACAGTTGTTTATTCTCCAGGGAGAAGTCGCCCATGGCAACATGGTTAATTTTCATATGACAGCTTCGACAAGTTGACATTTACTTTGTGAAGTAGTCAGGACAATGCACCCCCTATGGCATTACACAGTTTACAACTATGCCCTCAACGATAAATCATTAGATTCCACAAGAGGAAATGCATGGCGAGTCCCTGTCTAATAATATCACTACGAAAGAAAGCCTGAACTGACTGTAATTACAAAACAAAGGAACCATAACATTAATTTTTTTTCAGATTTGCATGTTCAACTGCATTCATCTAGCTATCTTTCTGGACCATCTCTGATACCTCTCTCTCCTTCCTGGACCTCTCTGTTTCCATCTCTGGCGACCACCTAGAAACCGATATCCATTTCTAGCCCACCGACTCCCACAGCTACCTAGAATACACCTCCGCCCACCCACCTTCCTGCAAAAATGCCATCCCCCAATCCCAATTCCTTCGCCTCTGCCGCCAGGATGAGCCATTCCACGCCCGTACATCTCAGATGTCCTCGTTTTTCAAGGACTGCAACTTCCCCCTGTCAGTGGTTGAGAATGCCCTTGACCGTATCTCCCGCAACTCGTCCCTCACACCCCCTCCCCGCAATAACAACCAAAACAGAATCCCCCTCGTCCTCACGTACCACCCCACCAACCTCCGGATCCAACGCATCATCCTCCGACACTTCCGCCATCTGCAATCCAACCCCACCACCAAAGACATTTTTTCCTCCCAACCCTTATCTGCTTTCCGGAGAGACCACTCTCTCTGAGACTCCCTTGTCCGCTCCACACTCCCCTCCAGCCCCACCTCACCCGGCACTTTTCCCTGAAACCGCAGGAAGTGCTACAGCTGCCTCTACACCTCCCCCCTCACCCCCATCCCAGGCCCAGGCCCCAAGAAGACTTTCCACATCAAGCAGATGTTCACCTGCACATCTGCTAATGTGGTATACTGCATCCGCTGTTCCCGTTGTGGCCTCCTCTACATCGGGGAAACCAAGCGGAGGCTTGGGGACCGCTTTGCAGAACACCTACGCTCGGTTTGCACTAAACAACTGCACCTCCCAGTCGTGAACCATTTCAACTCCCCCTCCCATTCCTCAGACGACATGTCCATCCTGGGCCTCCTGCAGTGCCACAACAATGCCACCTGATATTCTGCTTGGGAACCCTGCAGCCCAATGGTATCAATGTGGACTTCACAAGCTTCAAAATCTCCCCTCCCCCTACCGCATCCCAAAACCAGCCCAGCTCGTCCCCACCTCCCTAACCTGTCCTTCCTCCCACCTATACCCTCCTCCCACCTCAAGCCCTACCCCCCTTTCCTACCTATTAACCTCATCCCGCCCCCTTGACCTGTCCGTCCTCCCTGGACTGACCTATCTCCTCCCTACCTCCCCACCTACACTCACCTTTACTGGCTCCATCCCCGCCTCTTTGACCTGTCTGTCTCCTCTCCACCTATCTTCTCCTCTATCCATCTTCTATCCATCTCCCCCTCTCTCCCTATTTATTTCAGAACTCCCCCTTCCCTCCCCCATTTCTGAAGAAGAGTCTAGGACCGAAACATCAGTCTTCCTGCTCCTCTGATGCTGTTTGGCCTGCTGTGTTCATCCAGCTCTGCACCTTGTTATCTCTATCTTTCTGAACAGTTTTGTTTGAATTTGTACCAGTGAAACAATTAATAAATCAGTTAGCTGCCCACAAGACTACTGCAAATTACCTAAAGGTGCCAAAGGATCTGGGTTAAGCAACTACAGTCTTGTTTTAATTATGCTAGGGGTAATCCAAAATTTCTTTGACAGCTTTAAATAAGAACAAGGTTTGAACAGAACAGCTTGAACCGAGTGTAATACCATCCTTAAAAAGAAGCATGTATTTTGAAAAGGTTTTAGTCTGCTAACTGACTTGATCAATTAACTATCCATGGAAATCAACATCTGCATTTTAAAAGGACATCCTGATATTCTGCTATAAACATATATTCTTAACTGCTTATTATTCCTGGGGATGTTGGCTGAATGCATTTTTGGCATTATTGATGAGGATATAAGATTGTTTGTACAACTTGACTGTATCTATAAGGATGTATCACTTGTTCATACGATTAAATGCTAGCTCATGGGGGGCTAGGGAATGAGTTATTGTTTAGCCTACATGATTCAAGTTACAGACATGAGGGCAATAGTTGATGGTCCTGACCTTAAGCCAATGGAAAAAGTTAATGAAACCATTTCCTAGTTAGGAATCATAAATCCTCAGTAGTAGGGATATGAGTTTGAAATTCAATGTCTTTTCTGTCATGGTTTAACCCAGTAGCTTCTGCAAATAATTTTTATGAGACAAAGTTCAAAATAACATCACTTCAGAAACAGGAGATGCAGACATAATTTTTCTGAGGAAGAAATTTTCACTTGGCCTTGAAATATTCACTCTCCACAGATGCTGGCAAACATGTTGAGCTTCTCCAGTAGTTTGTGTTCGTTTCAGACTTCTAGCATCCACAGTATTTTGTTTTTATTAGAAGACAGACATCACATGTGCTGGCAACATTCATCATTTATTCATTAAGTATTTAATAAATCTTGCCGAATAAATTCTACCTGATTCATACACACTGATCATTTGTATCTGGTTAGGCCAAATACACTGAAGCCCCATTGTTACAAATTAGGATTCCAGAACTTTAGAGATTTCAAGCAAACCACTTTAGCATTAAAATCTCCTGATGTTAAATTAACTGACAAATAAGAGCATTTTTTTTTCCATTTGTGGGACGTGCGCGTCGCTGGTCAGCCAGCATTTATTGCCCATCCCTAAATGTGGTCAAGAGGTGTTGGTGAGCTGCCTTCTTGAACCACTACAGTCCAGGTGCTGTAGGTTGACCCACAATCCCCTTATGGAGGGAATTATGAGTTATCATTCTTGAAAACTTTGGCTTTATTTGCTGATGTATTCCAAATTTATATGCTCCGCCTCTAACAAAACTCTACTCTGGAGGGCTTGTTCACTTATTTCAAACTCAGTACTCTGTTCAAAAAGCAGCAAGTCAAAAACAAATTTCTTTAAAAGGTCCTTAGTTTCCAAGACAACCGTAAAACATTTCTGTTTTGCAGATTTCTGCTTCATTTTTGAGGCGGGGAGGGGAAAAAGATGGAAGAGGAGAAACAGAGAGAAGCATGGGAACAGAAACATTAAAAGGGAATCTGGGGATATACATGGTCAGCATAAAGCTTGCATAAAGAACATACTGCATCTCAACCGTTATGTCCCCTTAATCAACAGGAGGATGTGGCAAAACTTGCATACATTAGGTCAGGCCCCAGAAACAACCCTTTTATTAAAATGGCACAGATTTTATAATACCCAGAACTCTATTTTCTCCAGAAATGTAATTGAAGCATTAACAGTTTATAGATTTCATCTGGCAAAAATTGAACTGACAAAGTGCCAAGTAGGC